AATCCAGCATTTTTAATCTCGTATTTCTACATTTTATACTTCTATTTCAAAAATGCATCATACATTTTTGAAAGTTCATATATTTTTTACATGTTTCACCTCTGCCTGACGAAACCGTGAAGTTGTGCGCCGCTGTAGAAACTATGGCTTGATTTCTTGTTATCTGAATTCCAGCTCAAACATATATAAAATAAAATATTTACTAGCATATAAATATATAAACTCTGATATATATTCCTACTTGTATAGATCTCTTCACATATACATACAGTAATTAATGTTTGAGTCATTACAACGTGCGTTATGAAGTCTGCGAATTGCAATTGATAGATCTGATTGATTTACTATAATTTCCTTTAAAAAGTACTTCGAATTTACTATCTAGTTACTCTTTTGAGAATTATCCTACATGAAAATATCCACTTTAAGTTAACATTTATAAACAATGCATGAATGTTGATAGAAATCAAAAGAAACCAGAATTTGATAGTTTAAATGGAATCGGTTGGTTATTTGCCACGTATACGTAGTGGAGTCGAACATTTTTTATGAAGATGGACTCAACGTACGCACTTTACAATTTAAAAGATGGCCAAGACATATACAGAACATTTGTATGCCAATAACAGCCGGCGTTCCTTGTATCTTCCAATATATCTGCTGTAATTCATTTTTCATTTTTTGATTTTCGGAATATAAGCTAGTTATTTTATTTCGTTTATTTTTTTTATTATTTTATCCCTTTTTCTTTTTTTCTTCCTAACTTATTAAAAAACATACCTCTAAAATATAATAAAATTACCTTCCTCTCTCTAAAAGCACTATGGTGTAGACCTCCCATCTGGGGCAGGTGCTATTTATCCTAAATTTCCGATAATAATAAACGAAAATAAATTCGTTTATTTTTTATTATTTTAGCTATTTTTCTTCTTTTCTTTCCAAGTCATTAAAAAACATGCTTCTGAAATATAATAAAATCACTTCTCTCTCCCCCAAAGCATTGTGGTGTAGACTCCCATCTGGGGCAGGTTACTATTTATCCTAAATTTCCTTTAGTTTATGTCCCTATGTTTTGTCGTTTTTAGAGGGAATATTTTTTTCCTATAGTATACAATATATACGTAGTAGTTAGATTATTATATACTATATTATACATAGTTAGCTTATTAGAACACGCATGTCAGAATGAAAGCAGGGGTTAAAAATTCTGCATTGTTTGTTATAACAAAATAGTTTATTTTTACTGAAACAATAAGAAAATAATGAATATATGAATAGTAAAAGATATGTGAATTCTCTGAAAGAAATGATGAAATCGACTTCACATCGCAGAGCTTTAACAGATGAGGCATATATACATTTATAAGAAGTCCGTTGAAAGACCTGTCACGCATTATAAAAAATGTCTTTCGATATTCCTAGAGCTCCTGGATTAAACCTAGACTTACATATTACGCTATATAGTACAGAAAAATATATAGCAGAATATTTCAGTGGCTAAAAGCAGAATTACTATTTTTATAGATATGCCAGTTTTAATAGACTGTATAAGAGATACTTATGCTTATGATAATAAATAGTGATTAAATTCTTAAGACAGGAAATAGTTACATAACATTTAAAAATCAAGATTTTTTTATGGTTTTCTTTTTAAAAAATTATGTCGTCTTTTTGAATGAATACGTGCTCCTAGTACTTAAGGAATATTCTTTAACAATTTTAATGACGTCTGATTATTTGTAATAAAAATTTAATTATATGTTTAATTTAATAATGCTAATTTATTTAAGTGTGCAGTAATATTAAATAAAAATACTAAACTTTAAAATTTAAATTTATTCAATGTTAAAGTAAATCACAAGGGTGAGCTAAGATTAATAATAAGCAGCCGTGATTAGCAAAAATACACAGTCGGGATATTTTTATAATAGTTTACATTCTAAGCTAATAAGTTTTATACTATAGAATAAATATTAAGATATATTTTACATCATAAATCATAAAATTACATTTTATTTTTAATACTAATTACTAATATGCACTATATTTTAATTAACCGATTAAAAGATTTCAGATTTTAAATACTATTCATTTGTTCAAGTGTTTAAAATTTTCCATGGAATTTTTATTTATTCAAAAACATCAATTCCAGTCTTTAGAGCCTGAAATAAATATTTATCTAGAAAGTGTAAAGCCACGCTTTATCCAGCACTGCAGAATATTACTGCTTCATCTAGAAAGAGGTATAATTTAGAGATTTAGCTGTTACATCTAGGATTTTCTTTTGAATTCATTTGAAATGAATATGTTTGCTTCAACTACGGAATTTATTATTTTAGTCATACTGTACTTTGAGAAAAATAATTATTAATTTCATGTGTGGTATTTAGAATAAGTTTTCACTGTTTATATATAATTATTATAGACATTCATATTATTTTAATGTATGATAATTATTATAGTCACTTAAAAATTTATGTTTTCTAGATAATGAATATATGAATATATGAAGTAGCTTGCATTTTTATTTCTTAATATTTATTGAAGTTATTTTTTCAGTATATATAAATTTATTAAATTTACTTATTTCAGTATACATAAATTCATTTAAGTTCAGTTCATTGAGGAATCTATGCTTTTTTACCTATCTGTACATAAAATACGGAATGTTTTGCAAAATGCTTATTAAATGCTTTACCAAAATTAAGAATGCAAGCATTCTTAATTTTGGTAAAGCATTCAATAAGCATTCAATAAGCTTTTCATCCCATAGAAACCTAATTTTTATGGATATACTTAGGTTATGCATATTAAATTTTGCTACATTTACTAGAAAATATCTTAGAAAATTGAGGGAAAAATAGATTAAAATTCTTATATAAAATATTCCGAATAGACTTTCATCAAAAGGAAATAAGTATATCAAGTTCTTCGGAAGTTCTTGCTTAATAAAGGAAAGAAAATATTCATGATTACTTGATATGCTATCCAGTATTAATTTCTATATGCGTACAGTATAGTCTACCATATAAGAAGATTGTTAATTAATAATATATGCATTAATAATATGGGCGTGTTTATAGGAAACGTTATCTGGATTATAAGGGTTGACCATAAAGAAGTGGGAAAGCTTTTCATATAATTGATATCACAAGATTCAATAATGGTATACAGGAAGATAGAGTCTGAAAAGACTTTATTATAGGTAACTTTATTATAGGACTTTATATTAAAATAAGTATGATCTTTCAGTATAATCGCCTGTCATATCTATCAGCTTCTACCAAATTATTTGAAGGCGTTATACATGTTTACTTCTTTGACACTTCATATCGACCACCTTAAAGCACGGATAACCTCCTCTATACTGTGATGGATCCCTCAGAGCGGCTTTTTTCGTTTTGGAGAAAAGCTTATAGCTACGCGGTTTTATACCAGATAAGTATGGTGGGGATTCCACTTGCCCCCCCTCCCCAATTGAAAAATTTCCGTGGCAATGCTCGCGTTATGACACCGCGAATTGTTATCGGGGGATGAGATTCATCATCTAATATATTTATTTGTGTCCGTTACTTAGGAAAAAGGTGAACAATACTTGTGGTAACGAATCGCACCATCCAGAGGTTTAATAATGACAGTGCTGTCATGGATCGCCTTTGACAGGGAGGTGTCATTCCCTCCATACTTACTCGATATGAATTCGTGTGACTATGACCTCTTCGCTCGAATGAAAGAACCATCGTGAGGGATTCGTTACAATGACATTGAGGAAGTTATTTGTGTTCTAGGGCGGTCAAAACTAATGGTCGGAGCATCAACAGAAGTAGACGTTCTTATGGTATACGACGTCTTTCAGTAACGTGGTAGGAGATGGTAAGCCTGATCGGCTATAATGTGGAAGGACGCTAAGTGTTTGTATTTATAGTAATATTCTTTCAATAACTAGTGATATGTTATGTTGCAATTACTTTTTATCCAACTCATGTATTTATAGTCCTAATGCTGTATCCTGTATCATATAATTATTTCCTGTGGGGCATATGAAAAATATAATATTTACTTCGCTATAGTTTTTGGAAATGTGATATATACATATGACTTTCTGATAAGATGAAGAATATAACAATAATTTTCCTTCTGTCTGCAAAAAACTTAATTGTTGATTTGTTTCGATATTTTTTCTCTGCTTTCATTTTCTTTCAGTAATGATGGCATGTGTTCTGTTTCGTTTCCCGCAGAAGTGGATGTGGGGCAAACTTTTCTAAATTAATTCTTACTTGATGTCTTTACTTTATATGATATGTTGTTCATTAATTTGTTGCCAGACAGTGGTACTGCTTTTAAAATTCATATTTTAATGATTTCTATGAATATTCTATGTCAATAAATTTTTATAAATACTATAAATTTTTTGCTTCAATACTAATTTCATTCAACTTCAAGTCTCTTTATCTCTCCTACAAAACTAGATCTCACACGTTTAAAACGCATTTTTTCGATTTTCTTTGATTTCAAATTTAATTATAATTCTCTTTAAGTTCAGTTCTAACAGTAATATGCATGGCAATTCGTTTAATTACACGTTTCGTTTTTTTTCAATCAAAACTTTAATTTAATAATTTTTTAATATTTTAAGATATTTTTGTTTCCAGCGTTCATTTATTACATTATTTTCTGTTACATAAATATTTTTTTTTCTATAAATTCAAAAGAATTTTAAAGAAATAAACCTGTTACTTATTGGACGATACGAACTTACGAAAATAATACTATGTGAAATCTATAAATTATTTGATTTAAATGATTTGAAAGAAATGCCAAAGACTTCTCGCATTTCGGCAATAAGTCACTGAGTTTCGGATGTATTGTTTTATTTTTTTCGCTATCGGGGGGGGGGGAAAGGACATAGGTAGTAAAGCCTTTTATCTAATTTTTAACGCATATATATATATGTATTATATTAGATATGCATTATTATATATACATACATTTCAGTATCATTCATATTTAGAAATGTACTTCAACTTTATTCACATATTTGATATTAGAAAATGCTCAAAACACATTTTTTATCAACTGAAAGTTTCGTAAGTATTTAAAAATGTATCTGAAGTTCGTTCATATAATTGATATCACAAGATACTTAAGACACAACTTTGTTCTACTGATGAGGTTGTGCCTTGAGAATTTTCAAACAGAAAAGAACTCTATACATTTCAACTCGAGGAAACAGTTACCATCTGAAAGATTCAGTAACGGCATACAGGAAGATAGAGACGCTAACACTTTGTTTCAAGCTTTTTCTTTCTATCATAACAAGACTGGATAAAATAGATGTATTTTAATATTCGATCCTGTACGACTTATAGCAACGATGCACTGAAATTCAGAAAGAAACTAAGAAATCAAGCCTTTGCGCGTGCGTGCTACTACTTTCTTCAATTATACGTACGTGGCTTCAAGAGAAATTATCTTAAAAAATAAACATCCATCTCCGGTTAAGAATACTCAGAAACAACATCTGTAAAAAATAAATAATAAAAAACAACAATCTTGGACAGTCCAACTCTTGTATTCCTGAAAATTAAAGAAACACAAAGAAAATTCGTTTCAACGATTTGGACTGTAATTTATCTATTACGGTAATTTTTAAAGGTCTCTGGCACCTACACCTCCATGTAGGTAGGTGTCCCGTGGTGGAGGCTGAGCTAGCTCCTCACGCGTGTCTATGGCTGTCGTTGTTGAACCGTATGTCGGCTGCTTGATTTCGCTGAAGGAGGTCGTGACATCGCCATTTGGCTGCTTGTCTATGGTGGTTGTGGTGAAGGCATGTTCCAACGGATTCCAGGAAGGACCTTCTTCAGGATTTTGTTCGTCGGGGGGCTCGGCCCACTTCTGTTTCTCTCCTGAAGCAAACACGCCATAAAATATTACCCCAGCGAAATGAATCATACTGGCGATTAGAAAGACACGTTGCCACTCATCAGGTGTCTGAAAGTACGTAAAGAAAAACCTTTATGCATGGCAGAATTAACAAGAAGTTTTAGTTGTTGTTTATATTGGCTATTTTTGAAGTTTTAAATTAGAGGTGTACTGTATCTCAAAGGAAAAAAAACTCAGTTTACGTTCAAAAATCTTAACGTAAATGGGTGGGCTTCGAAAACCTGAATGTTTTGAGATTTAGATCAGTACCATTTAAATATTTATTTATTTTATAAAAGCATTTGATAAACAATGCCGTTTATTATAACAGGAATATTCTTACTTTCAGTTCCTTATTTTTAGAACAGTGCCTTTTTTAAATGTTCTTTACAGAGGCATATCTTGAATTTTCGTAAAGGGCATGCTGCTGAATACCAGATTTTTAAAAAATTATATTAATGAATAAAATTCTGATTTACTTGTATTCGAAAGTTAGCTATAGAATTTGCATATTAGCATATTGTTAATTATTGCATAGCATGTGAAATAATGAAATGCACGTAATAAAAAATTAATATTCCTCAGATTTAAGGTCTGAAATGCTGGAATGGATTTTTTAAAATTAGAATGGAACAGACAGAAATGGAAATTATTTTCAGAAGTTTGCAAACAAGTTATATCCCAGAATAATTCAATTTTGCTTGAATGATGCATATCCCACTACGATATATTTCCGAGTATAATCAACAAATTAACAGTGATTATATTAATTAATTATAAATTCATCCTAATGACAGAAAAAAGGTGAATACGGGCTCAGTTAATGCTGATATTGACAAAATCAGCGACTGAATCTTTTAAATTTCACTTATCATGTTACAAATATTGCTGGTACGTACACATGGTATGAATTTACGGATAAGATTATTTTCAAATTTAAGGGAAAAATAGAGAAATTTGAATTCAAATAATTCGTAGGACTAGGGCTAAATATATTTAATAAAATTTCAGATGGATTTGAATTAGAAGAAGGAAATTTTTCTGCGTTCAAAAAATGTTCCAAGTTTGCAATTATTATTAGGATCAAGCTTTTTGCCTACTTTCTGAGACATGTTACTGTTTTAGAATAAAGGCAATAGATTTAACACTTTTTGATACACATTCTGTTTTGGAGAAAAATTATTTCTTTTATGACTTGCATCTTTGCTTTTCGTGACTTCTAACAGCCTTTTGTTTGAAATAAACTAAGAAACGCTATATCCTTTATATGGTATTCGTACGATTTTTAATTGCAATTTATAAAATCATTTTAAGCAATAAGAAATATCCATCCCGCTTGTGACCAAGGACTACCATACTTGCGCACAGACTGGGGAATATGAAAAAAGAACTGAGGCAGAATTTTATTCTTTACAAGCTGATAAAGAAACGTTTAAACTTAAATAATTCATTTTTAATTGATTTTTATCATTTGGAATTTGTATTCAAGCCAGAATTTAGTTAAAAAAACTATTTAAAATTTTTGCTGCTAACTGAACTGAAATTTTCATTAGATTGTTTAGGTACTATTTTTAAAACGCGAGTTAACAGCGATCGGAAAAAAAATTCGTTACGATATTATTCTCATATTGTAGCCATAGAAAAATGCATCTTGGAAAAGATCTAAAAGAAAATTTTTACTGCAAATAATATTTTTGCTAAAATGATTAATATTATTGATAACGATTTTTTTTCTAATAGAGTCAGTTATTTTACTGTGTATTCACAATTGAAAATATTTTAATTTCTCACAAAACACAAATTTTGCTGAGCAACTGCTAAAGAAAGAGCTAAATTATTCTTTTCCTGTACTGCTTATTTTATCTAATATTTCCAATAATTCTGAAAATCCCTTTATCAATTTCTGCATTTAGGATCAGTATGCACTTACTCCTTCGGTTGTTATGTTTTCTTCTACTATTGGACAGATCATACCAGCCAATGTTCCAAATCCATTTGACATCCCCATCAGAATACTTGCGTAACGGGGCGCAATGTCAAGATGATTGACGTTAAAACCTAAACAGAGGAAAGAGTTTTCATTAATAGATTAATCAATGTGCAATTCATTACAGTTTCACAATACTTCAGGAAGAGAAAATGACCGTTAATTATGTGTGTGGGTCGGTGGTAAGAAGAAGCTACTGTAAACACTCAAAGACAATGAAATGTTTGGAAATGCCTTTTTAAAGGAATGTAAACTTTTATTTACACTGAAATATAATCATTGAGGAAACGAAATTGGTATTTTTGGATTAAACATGAATTTAATTTTCACTAATTTCGATACTGGATTTAATTGGGCCTCGTCTAAGCACTAGTCTAACCTTCCACTGTAGAGTCATTAGGTTTATTGGAAGCAGAAAAGATGAAAAATATGCAACCACCTTCGCCGGGAATCCAACCACGGACCTCTGGAATACCGGCCCAGGGTGCTACCGTTACACCACGAAGGCACTCTAGGGAAGTGGGAGAAATATCTTATATACTCCCCTTTTTAAAGGGTGACAAGGGTTTTAGGGGACCTAGTCGCTGATCCTGAGTGGGGAAAAATCACCATCCATCACCCTTTTAGTTCGGGCGTCACTTGTAGAGTCATTAGGTTTATTGGAAGCAGAAAAGATGAAAAATATGCAACCGCCTTCGCCGGGAATCGATCGGAATTCTGGAATAATTCACGGACCTCTGGAATACCTGCCCAGCGTGCTACCGTTATACCACGAAGGCACGCTAGGGAAGTGGGAGAAATACATTATACCACTGCCAGATGAATGGCAGTCTTTACAGTTCAATATAAAAAAAAACTAAATAAGTACAGCAATGAAAGAAAACGAAACAATTTACTCGAATTTCAGCCTTAAGTCACCGAACTAAAATTAAATATTGTAAAACGAATTTCCACTTCTTGTGGGCTAATGGACCAGTAATTAATCAAAATTCTTAGAAGTCAAGGATTAACTTTTAAGATTGACAAAATGGTTCCGCTACCGCAGAACTAATAATTATTTCAATCACAGAGACTCATAGGCTCGACTAAAAGCTCTGAGGTAGGCAATAATCCAGAAGTTTCACGAGGACAGGCTGAGATTGTCAGTCCTTAACGTAGAATTACCCTGTTAGTTAAAACATCTTTGAACTATATGTTTTGAAGCAGTAGGCAAAACAGTAAAAGTGAAGAAATTTATAGCATAAGAATAAAGCTATTAATGCCATTTTTTCCTGTCACCGAGAAAGACTGGTTCTTCAGCGTTTCCTAGCCTGTTTCACTTTCCATTTTCTTCTCCATCATCTATTCGCATACCATCTGTTAGGTTGAGTATGTGTTCTGCCAGCCCGAAGCAGGTCGGTTCGACGCCGACGGTTCGACGCCAACGTTTCGACGCCGAGGCAGTTCGACGCCGTATGTTTCGACGCGGGGGCAGATCGACTGCAGGATCTGTCTCTACTTCAAAATGAATTATCGTGAATATGGCCAGAAATGTGCATAGTATAGCAAAACATTATTCTCGTTTTGGGTGTGGGGACAACTTCCTGAACATATTATACCCTGCTAACATGTTATAACCTATCCTAAAAGGAAAATTTCACTACAAGAGCCTCTAGATTAAATCTGCTACATTTCTCTCGACACATGCCTGAAGACAAACTGGAGTCGTTTCAGAGCATTATGTAGTACATTACATAAACATAGTGAATTTGAGTATCTTTCGAACGTATGGTTGTAGTCGCATGATTCTAGTAAGTAATTTTAGTAAACGAACCAGATAGTGTAGGATTTCAGAGTATGGATCAGAGGGTAATATAGGCAGAAGCAAACAGGCACATGAAGGATAATTCTGCTTACTATAAAGAGACACACAATAATAAAAAAGACATAAACTGAACATCTACTACCTCAATATAAACTGCATGTACTGATAAGTGAACCGAAAATATAACACGAATTGAAAAGAAACTGAACAAAATAAAACTGAGTATGTTCCTGAAGAACAGTGCATTTGCTCAGGACTCGATTAAGACAAACCAGCCCCAAACTGGAAAAATGTTCAGTCGCAGAGCTCATTTAGGAGCATGCAGCGCCCATTTTCCTTACTTTAATTACAAACATTAGGTTTATGATAAGCCACATGATGATTTTAACGGGTTCTGAAATCTAAGGCCTAGGCGGTAATCAGTCTGTGCAGCCCGTTAAAATTTCAAAAAGTAACAACGCTCCATCTCCGTTTATCAACTATTCTCTACAGGAAAGAGAGAATGTATTATTAATTTAAATATTATGCGTGTTAGGATGTTTTGGAGCGGGGTGTCTTAAGAAAATTCCTCGTTCCCTCGCCGGTTCTTCAGTAGCTAGATTGACAAAGTGATCGATTATGCTACAAGAGCATTACCTATTTTAAAGTAGCAGATCGTAACAATACAGAACGTTCCGGCATTAAAAAAAAAACCTTTATGGATGTTTACTGGACATTTTTACAAGACTTCTAGAATCCTCGACTATTCATATATCGGAAGCCAATCAAACAATTACGCTTATTAACACTGTGGAAAGATACTAGGTTCTCTGGGTGTTATAATTTTGTCCAAATCTGGAGACTTACCTACATTTTATTTCTCCTAACATATGTTATTTGGAATGCATTACTTAAATAAATAAATAAAAAGAGGAGGAATAAACATAAATTATTTAGAATGTATTTTCTAAACAAATGAAAAATAAATAAATATATAAAAGGAGTAGGATGACATTCTGTCACACAGTGAGAAGGATGAAATGGAACAAGAGAATCACAACAGTGTGCTTTTCGAAGGAAAGTATTAGAGGTTTCTCTTCCTCAAGGGACAGAAAAATTTGATTTTATTGACTTTTTTACTTCCTTGTACGAAGTAAAAAGAAAGTATTGTAATCGCGAAAAGCTTCAGGCAGAATATTTCAACGAAAATATCCACTTTGACCGCTATCGAATGCAATTTAACGATGTTTTGCGTGACATCTGTACGTAAGGACAGAATAAAAGACTCTTTTCCTCCAAAAAAATTAATAAAACTGCTTTAAAATGAATTCTTAAGAGAATTTTTCGTGGCGTCTGTACGAACGTATGTACGTACGTACGTATCTCGCATAACTCAAAAACGAGTAGCCTCAGAACGTTGAAATTTTGTATATAGGACTGCTATAACATGTAGATGTGCACCTCGTATTTTGGTTGCAATCGGCCGCACCAAACGTATACAAATATATTTATATATATATCCACTCTGTTACCCGGCTCAGTGATCTCAGTTTCTTTACTCTTATATGTTTGTAAATTGTACATTTTTTGCTTTAAAAATGATTGAATTATGTTGTTTTTATCTTCCGGTTAAGGTTTTTATGCCTTTAGTAAATCTGTATGCAATATTTTTAGAATTATCAACAATTTTAAAATTGTTTAAGTGCCGCTAAGCCTAATTTGATGGCGGCCATTGCTCTTGTTTACATTTGAAACAGGAGACTAGTGGATTTGTTGCCAATCTAGAGAAACTTAGCTTCGCAACAACAAAGATAACGCCTTCATTTATTATTTAAATCATGCTTAATCCTTTCTGGAATTTTTTCGAGGAAATAAGCGTTTAAGATTTACTTCGTAATTTTTAATACAGATATTTTGAGTTTTATGTATTTTTGCCTTGTCGCGAAGTGAAAACTGAATTAATTGAATGAGAAATACTCAATCGTCTGTGAAAAACTGTTTCTTTTTTGTTTTGTTTGCTTAATTTCTTTTTATACATCATTCTAGCTTTATTATAGTATTTGAATAGAACATGTGGCAACGATTAGATAATTCTTTAAATGATATAAATTTTGTGCATTCTGAGTTATAATATGAACGAAATATAATACTGTTAAGTAAACCTAGGGCCAGAGTGTCGCTATGGTAAACAAAGTGAATTTTAAGGAATGCATTTATTCTATTGTGGTTTATGCGCTGTCGGCGAAGTAGGTTTAATTCAATCTAATAAGTTTAAATGAAATGCAAGAAAAAATGCGTATAATTTAATATTCCGTAGAAGGAAGTCATGTGGTGTACACATCAGATTTTTTTATTTATTAATTATTAAAACCCATACAATTCAAGATCTGAAAAAGCCTCAAATACAAAAGTTTAAAATACCAGCTCGTATTGAAAAATCTCGTGTTTAAATCTGAATTAATGTACAAATGAATCAAACTTTTCTGTTTAAAATGGAGTTAAAAAAATGCTACAGTATGCACCCTTTTTGATATAACCCTCGAAAGAGATGTATTAAAAATACATCTAATGATGTATGCGAAAAGTTTTTCTAAAATAATCTTCATCCAATTTGATTTATTCCCAATAAATCAAATGAAATTCGTCAGAGAGGGTTTCGTTTTTCACCTGTGAAATGTATCTCGTTGTTTTATATTTTATATGTCTTAAGGAAAGAGAAATATTTCCGATCTTGCAGAATAGAAGGAAAAAAAAAATGACAAAGGTTCTTCGTAAAACCGATTGTATTATTCTGTCCTTGACTACCGAAGGTAAATACTATTTTACTGTTTCAAAACAATTTTCTTATTTTACTCATCCCTTAAGATGAACAAGAAACTCGATGACATTGCTTTTGCGAATCTTTATTTCCAGACATAATACTTAAACATGGAACAAATATAAAGCTACAAAAATTTTAACTAAAACATAATGCTTCAGACACGAGAAATACAGTACAATTATCAATGACCGGACTTCAGATACATCAGATTCGGATAGTTAATTATTTTGGCCAGATAAAACACGAACAAACTTGCTGTTCATTTATTAACAAGCGTTTTAATTTTAACACAGATTTTAATAATATGAATATAGTGCATAATTTTTCTACCAAATGATTTAAAATTTCGCAGACAGCTGTTACATATAGAGACGGACGTAAATTTAAAATGATGTCAGCCACGTACGCGTGGCGAAAGTAATCCTACTATTACCTTACTTACTAAAGTAGTTGTCGAAGGTATGTAAAATATTTCCATGTAGACAGTATGTCAGTGTTCCACGTCCACTAAACTTGATGCAATGTACTTATTCATTACTTTATTTTCAGAATGTGAATTATCTATGTCATTTTATTTGCTTTATAGTTATTTTATTCCATGTTCTTCTTTTCTTTTAAATGAAAAGTAAGAGTATACGTTTCTACAATATGAACAAAAGCTTGCCTTTCAATTTTTGATGGTACGCGTTAATCTAAAGGTTGAGAACTGCTGCTCTACAGTATTTTGTTTTTAATTACACAGGTATTTAAGCTATTAAACTGCAAATGTTTATAAAGCTACTTTAACTGACACCAGCATTTTTCGTCGTCAAATCAAAATTCTTTATGGTTATGTAAATAAGATTGGTTAGTTACTTTTTTACCTGCAAACTTAGTAAAATAATTATTTTACATTTCAGGTCTTCTTTAAGAGCGAAAAAGAGTTTATTGGGATTCTAATATTTTAAAATTTTACCAACATAGGACATAAATATTTTTTACCGGATATCGCAAAGCCACTGAAACCAACTGCTAAAGTGAGAGCAATGATGACAACGGCTTTACTTCTCGTATAGGCGACGACGAGCAGAAACATTGCTTCCAGACCGAAACCTGCAAAATAAAAATATAAAACGTAAAAAAGCAATAATGCCCAGAAATTCTTCAAGAGAAATTCTTCTTCATCTTGTATTTAAATATTGATAATAATTTGGACTTACAACTTGCTCTAATTAAGTATAAAATTTAACATGAAAACTGTACATTTCGTGCAACTTAAGGATTAAGGTTTTAACGAAATTAATTTTTAAAAAATATGCATCTTCTCTCTGACAAAACCGATTTAATTTTCTTTCCAAGTTTTTTGTAATAATTTAATTATTTAATATATCATAGAAGAAATACAGAAGGAAATAAAATTACTGAATAAATACGGTAAAGAATAAAGGTAAAAGGGTTGAAGATTCGGAAGCTAAGTCTTAGTCAAAATAAAGGAACCTAATAATAGTAACTTAACAAAAGAAAACGCTTTAAGTTACGAAAAAATAAATTAATTAGAAAAATATGAAAGGATTCAGATTTTAATGGCTGATCAAAATGGTTATTTTAAAATGGTTTATCAGTACAGATTATACACAGAGATGCCTCAAGTGAATAACGAAACATTTTACAGGGTATTAGATGAATATAATGCATTTAGACTAATACGAGAATGTCATAATCTTTGTATAATTGAAAAGTGAAAAAAAGTGTAACTGCAAAATTATTGATTGCTTTTAATTAGATATATCATGAACTAAAAGCTTTCTCAGTTAAATCAGTTCGATTAAAAAGTAAAAAAAATTATATAATACTTTTAAACAGCTTAATTTGTCAATCCATTGATTGAACAGTCTAATTAAATTTGAAGGATAAATCACCAAAAAAATTGATTAAAAATCAATGTTCAAGTAATCATGTTTCAAGACTAATAGCTCTTTTAGGCTTAAAAATCCTCAATACGATGTATGGATGTTGATAATCCTATTCGATATTAGCGGAATAAGTTAGAACGTCTTGTAGACTTGGGTAGCTTAAACAAACGAGACCTAGAAGACTCTGTGAAGAATTATCCTCAAGTCTTTAGTACAACAAATACAAAGAAGAGTGTAAAGAACCTTTTATTCAATCAATATAAGTTTATAGATGGCCTCACTTGGGCGAACGCAAAAGCTAGGACTTCTAATAATTCAAACAGGTAGCAATGAATTTCAACGTAGTATGTTTAGCCTAACGGTTCACAAGATAATTTAACGCGCAGGAAGGCTTTGACTCGTAAAAAAGAGCGTAATCAAGCTTAATGGCTTTAAGCACTCAACTCTATAGAAATGTAATCGCTAGTAATTCAAGATAAGAGCGCGGCTTTCACGCTCTAAAACCACCTTCAAAAACTTCACTTAAATAGTACTTCTTCTATTTCAACTGAATACACGCGCGCTAGTTAATTAGTATTCCTACAAGAAAGTGTGGGTGAAAATGAGGATCAAAGGAAAGTTACTTTAATTAACTGCTAGATAAATTAAATGAATCTTCACAAAGGTTTAAATGACACGGATGTCTATAAACGGAAAAATCTGAGACTGCAGAAAGATGCATGTGGTAATGCCTGTATCAGAACATTCAGGTTGAGAAATTTTGTTTCTGTTCTTTCTTCGAATCAGACGGGAGAAGGGGCAAGAGAATAGTAAAACGTAGACATAAGAAAGAGAAAATACGGAAATCAAATATTAAATGTAATCAATAGTCATTAGTTTCTTTACTGCTTTTGGGCATGTTTTGACGTACCACCACAGTTGAACAACTTCCTAACTCCCGTTGTTGTCAAGATCTCTCGTCTTCTAAGCATATCAGCCAGATAACCACCGATGGGGACGACGATTGTCATCAGAAGATGCGGTAAAGCTCCCACAATCCCTGACTGAAAAGAAAAAAGGTGTTCATTACTAACCAGATTTAAAAAAAGTCATATTTATCTCTAAATTATAGATGCCAATTAAAGCAGTGGTGTGCCAAGAAAGCTGGAAAAATATATATTCGAAAAATGACTCAGTGAAATTGTAATGAATGAAATGCATAAATACTGAGGGCAAAAGGCTCAATTTTCTGGGCAACATATGAGACAAACAAGGTTTTGGGGCAGAGTTATGAAGCCGCTAAAACACCGCCAATGGCAGACATGACCTTGAAGTTTCTTTCAACGATGGAGAAAAAATGGGTAAGTAATTTTTTGAGTAGCCCCCTTCCTGGTTTTTCCTGTTTCATCTTGAATGGTAGTATCAAAAATACCTTGATCTGATATCTTCTTTCTATTTATATTTCTAATTTTCTTCGTTTGTCTTTTTAATTCAAATCTCTTTTACTTTCGACTTATTCGTTACTCTCGTTTGAGAATCCTACTGCTTTATGGAATTAGGAAACACTTTTCCCCAGGTTTTTTATATACTAGTGTTAAGCGCTTAACTTAATTCCATGCTTTTACAACAAACTGTAAAATTTTTTCGCAACGTCGCACATTCCATCTATTTTATCCACCAGTGGCAGAACTCTTTAGAAGAACGATGCACGGACAGTCTGCAAAACAAAAAGTTCGCGAACTGGTAAGCGGGTTTTCATTGCATTAATCAGTGCAGCGCTAGTGTTTATAAAAATTAAAAACGAAAATTTTTCGAAAACGGGAAAACTGTTAAACAAATTTTAATAATTTTTTTATTATTACCCAATTAATAATAAATAACTATTTTTTATATTACGCTTCATTTTCATAAAGTTATTAAAACTACTTTATTGCTGCCTAAAACAATAATTTATTGTAGTTGCTCATATTTTATAAATATGATAAAGCAGCATTTAGACGATTTTTAAAGCACAGCTGGAAAAGGTGCATAAACAAGAAATATTTATAACAGAAGTTGCGGTTTAAGAATCTGAACTGTAAAATTTTAATGCTGCTACTGTTCGATTAAAGTAATACTACTGCAATTACACAGATTTCATTTTATCATCCTGTTTTCGTTTGTTTAAAACGCTATCTATGTCTTTTTCTTCTGTTTTTTTTTTTTTTTTGGAAAAAAAGTATTCCACTTTTAAAATCAGGAAAACTAAGGTGTGTACTATTTAATATAAATATGGGAACGACGATACCTTTATTTCAGTTCCTCAAAATTAAACTTTTTTGCAGGATGCTTTTGGATGACATAAAGATTTTAATTTTTTTTTCGAAAGAAAAAATCTTCAAGTTTTATCTGATATACCGTTTAAGCTTAAAGCAAATCACTTATGACTGCAAATGGCAAACGACAGCCTACCTCAAACATGCTTACTACATGATCCATGAATGAAGCGACTACCATCATCAAACCTATTTAATCAATAGACTTCATTATGTTTCCTACCCTTCCAAGCAACTCCCATGCTGCTCACTGTCTGGATATGAATCCCTGTCCCGAATGAGATGTCCCACATTTTTCCTTCTGCCCCCGGACCTCGTATTGCAATGTACTACATCTTTCAAATGCTGCCGAAAGAAAGAAATGACTTTAAAAGCTTTAGAGAAAACTGTTTTAACTGCGAAAAGCAGCGTCGATGAATGGATGGGAAAAAATGAAGTAAATCAATGTTATGGGGCCTCATAAATTGTATATTTTATTGTTAACATGTCTAGAAATGAGTTGAGGGAGAGCTGAAACGACATTTAAGAAACAAATAAATGAGAAACGTATAACGGGGCTTCACTGTATATTATGCAGTTTTATATGTGCGGTCAGCTTGCTTTTGCCGCGTAAGAAATGTGAATGTATATGGTAGTCATCAGCTTATATATATAACTGAATAAGAGATATCATATTTCAAAAGCTGGTGGAATTAAGTTCGAAACTGCGAATCATATGAGATATACGGAGAAATATCAATAAACTGGAGATTTTTTTAACGTATCATAAACATTTTTCACATCTAATTAAATGATTTGTCAATCCATTGATTGATGTCTTCCACTGAAACCAAGATCTTGGCTTTCCATTATTCCTATGCAGCTACTTCTTCATTTGAAGATCAGTTGAGTTCACGTAATTCAAAGTGTAAGATTTACTATACTGAATTTAATAGCAGCTTTTTTTTCTTCAAGTATTTCACCTAGTTCCACAATACATGTTTTAGGTGCTTTTGTGTGGTCAGAATTCCAGTGCAATACAAACTACTTTGGTTCAAAAGTAAGGACTTAATATATTGTCCAAGGGGTTTCTACGATGTCTTCGATTACAGGTCTACACTTCGCGATTATCGTACGAACCATTCTTTACGTTTACATTTCTCGTACAATTATAATCTTATAGTTTGGGAACTACGAATACAAAGCCAGAAAACTGTTCTCTAACCCTGAGAAGATAATCCTGCACTCAAATCTTGAAAATACATGGGAAGATGAAGTTTTCTTTCTTTCAAAGTGCTACCTTTTATGCAATGAGACTGTTCAACATATTTCCACACAACTTTTCTTACCTGATCAACTTTTAACTCAAGTACTTCACTGAAATACATGGGCTGAGATAAAATTAAGAGGTAAAATGTCCAGCTTCGGCAAAAGTTGGCAATGATGATGGCATACACAGGCATAGAGGTGAACATAGCTTTCCAAGGCGTGGTTTTGAGCTAAACGGAAATAAAAACACGAGTAAATTTCTTGTTTGATAAGACGCATTTTATTCAATAAAAATCAAACCAGAAATCTATTTAATTTTTACAATATTAAAGTTCTTTTACTGAATAACTAAACATGATTTACAAAAATAACGAGATAACAAGAGGAACTGATAACATTTAATGCATGCGTTGTATCACAAGAATTAGAATAAAAATAGGTAAATATATCAGTAACTCCAAAAATAGTTTATTACCATACATACAAAAACTTACAGTTCGCAATATAATTGCCGTCCATGTTTATCGCCCCCTGCCAAGCTACTGGAAGGCATCGTATACCACTAACAGTTCATCTTTTTGATGTCCGACAGCATTTGCCCTATAGCACGAATAACTTAACCTCTGTTGTTCTAATGGATCGCCCCAAATGGTGTTTTCATTTTAACGATGAAAATGTAGTCATACGAACTTATGTAAGATATTTATGGCGGATATTCCAGTACTTCTCATCAGCATCATCGCAACGTTACGACGTAACATTATGGTAACGCGCATTATTATGGAGAATGATGAAACCTGCCAAATGTTGTCGCTTTATTCTGAGTGCTGGACGCAGATGATGTCTAAGGTGTCGAATTTCACCATCCTTCATGATAATGGGTAGTGTACAATGTGTATAATGCAAAAGCTGGCACAGATCTTCTGCGTGTGTGGCGATGGGAGATAACGGAGCATCAACTATATACTCATCTCATGTGAACTTGTGTGACTATGATCTTTTCGCCAAAATGAAATAACTATTGGAAAGGATCTATCATAACAACAGAGAGGAAATTATTCGTGATATAGAGCTGTTACTATAGGACATCAACAAAAGCGGATAAGGTTATGGCGTACGATAATTAGGGTAACTTAATAGAGGTTGGTGAACACGGGCGGGCGTTTATATTTAGGAATAGTTAAGTGATTGTTTCTATGATGAAATGATTTGAGAACTATCGACGTGTTGCCACAAATTTTTATCTAACTTTATAGACAGCGTCATCGGAAAAAGATGGACTTGATGTTAAATCATTACTTCATGCTTTATTGTAAATCAGTTTTCTTAGTCCTAACATCAAAAATAATCAGTAATTACTTTAAAAACATTTAGTAATTAATATTTGATTGAATAAAGGTCTTTTCAAGGACGGGTGAGGTAACATTAGTTAACGCAGAGACTTTGGTTAGTAGTAACGACGCCGTCGGCTTTTAGAAGCCATTTCGCACGAACGTGGCAATCATGCAACAAGAAGCACACTGCATGTTGTGGTAGTTAGAACTCAAATATCTTACAAATACTCAATTCGATTTCCAGGAAATTTATGAGATACTATAACCACAACCTTATGCTGCGATATGATTACTGTTTGTCTTTTCTACAATCCCAATAGCCATAATCGAGCGTACATGGATGGAAAGAGAATATCGTTTTTATAACTCCAAGGCAACATATTTACAAACTCCAAGTTCATATTGAAATTTACAAACTCCAAGTTCATATTGAAATTTACAAACTCCAAGTTTATATTGAAATTTACAAACTCTACGGTAAGTACCGTCAGTAAGGTCAGTGTTTCTACATCAGTATGATAAAAGCAAAATTTAGAAAGATTGAAGTGTGAACACCGAGACGTAGAAGCCTAGCAGTGTTGTCTGGCATAGATATTTGATGCTTAGTGCGTCAACCCAAATGAAAGAGGAAGAAGTCGAGCCGCATTAAATTCCACTTTTTATTTAAATTCACATTTGTGGCCACAATTCATTTGGAACTTTAATCGCGCCTATTCAAGAACATTTACATTTTTGAACGCTATTGCAATAAGAAAAGAGGACAACGGTGTCCAAGCAGCACACAGGGTGAAGTTAAAAGTACGCATTTATCCAATATGGCAGTCTGTTAAGAGAAAAGTTTCAGTTCTCACAATGTTCCTCGTTTAGCGTGGCCAAATCCCGGAGACACAGCACTAAGTTCTCAATGTAAACAATTCCCGGTGGATACTCTTTATTTATTTATTATTTTTATTATTATTTTTTTAATTCCATCGACGGGATCCAACAGACTGAAGAGCACCTAACCTAATGGGCCAGGTGTTCTGTCGATAGCGAAGATAAAGAAAGATTTTAGGTTCCCAAATAACTGCGTCATCAGCGTTACGAAAGCTTTATGGCATAGATTAATCTAGAAATGGCACAGTTAAAAAATGTTATTATTATTTTTAGAATAAAGAGAAAATAACCAAATTAAAAAAAGAGGCATTAAAGCGCTATTACTAAATTAAATTATAAAGCTGATTTGCAATAATGTTACGAACTTTGTATTTGGTTAGATATTTTTAGTAGAATTATAATTAAAATTGTTTTATTTCCTTGTGCAAAGCAACGCGTGACAAAGTTTAAGAGAAAGCTACGCTGGAAAAGTAAAAATACAGGAGCACGTGCACTTAACATCGAATAAAAGTTCATATCTGTAATTGATATTTAATTTAAATAAATTAGTGCCTGGTATTGTGAACACTTGAAAGAATATCTCTGGGGAAAATTACAGCGTTTTGTTATATTTGTGATAAAAAATATTTGTATATATAAGATAAAAAATATACCTACTCTTTTACACGGCTATACTCTCTTATGCTACAGTACAGAATTAGGGGTCTGGAAGCTTAAGATTTAATTTTTAATCAGGTATGAGATTTAGAGGTTGGTTAAGTTGCGATTTAAATTTACTATGCGAGTGATTTTGATAATTAACGATATTTGTCGTGCTCTAAGAAGGAATTGTTTAATATCCGCGTTGTCCTTGAGTTATTTTCAGCTAATTTTGCTGTGTATTGTGAATTTCCATTTAAATTATCCGTTAATTACTGCAAATATGGAGTGATCGTTTAAAGAGATGTCAAGGAACCCGTAGCTCGAAGCAGTAGTAAGCAAAAGTGAAATAATTACCGTTTTTGTAACTTACTATTGAAGTGATGCTTGTGGCTTGATTTTTAGTCGTAGATGTGCCAGAGACCTATAGAACGCCGTTAGGAAAGGTGTACAAAAATAAACAAATAAAATAATAATTATTTTAAAAACAGATAATGTATAATTCAAAGTATAAAAGAAGCAAATAAAAATATTTTTAAATTTAGGCAAATTAATGAAAAATATACAAATAATAAATTAAATTTAAATTATATATGAAACAATAATAAAAGAAATAAAAATTAAATAAAATTAAACAAAAATATGGTAAAATGATATCAAGGCATGGCACGGATAGATCTTTTCCTAGTTTCGGAAGCAGATCGTTCCTGTGAAACCTTTTGTAAGACGAAATGGCGTAATTCAAAGAAGCAAATGCCATTGATTTATCTCGATTTTTTACAAAAGGAAACGAATCTATGCATGAGTTCGTCGCACTGTTAGCCCTTTCTTGCATCATGTCCACTCTAGTAGACAAAAAGTTTAAATTTGTTTATTCTTCTGTAAATGCCTTAACAGATTCCATTCCTGTGTTTATTCATTCTATATTATTAGAACTGTCGATCATAGATGGCTGTATAGCATTGCTATTTGGAAAATGGCTGCTACATCTCTTTCCAAGTTAGCACAATTTCTCAAAGTAAACATTATATAATATTGCTTACATTTTCTTATACTGCCATTTTTTATTCATAATTAGTAATTTTTGACATTTTATTTTAAATGTCAGTTTGAGAAAATTGTGGAGTGGGTAGATAAAGATTTACCGAAAAGAGGGAATTCAAACCCAAATGTACTGCTTATCAAGCCAAAATACCACTGGAAATGTTTATGTTTGGCAAGGAATTTTTAGAACATTTGACATTTAAATCCAATAGGTATAGGTTACAAAATCGTAGCAAAATGAATTCAAACACAATCGACGAAATGAAGGTATTTTGGGGGATTTGTATGTACATGTCAGTTGTAGATTTACCATTTAGAAGATGGTAATGATCACTGCAAACAAGACAGGAAATGATTTCAAATGCAATGACCGTAAATCGTTGGGAAGAGATACGTATGCATGTACGTATATGCATACTGTCCATTGTAGTGAACAAACTGCAGCAATTATTTAAAACGAAATTTGAATAAAATTATTTTTTTATTATTACTAAGGTTAAGACACAATAACACGCCGAATAAATACTGATTCAGAAGTCAAACAACAAAAATCAGCGTTAATTCACAAAATTTTCACAGGACTAGTTTCGATGGTTTTACCGAACCATCATCTTCAGCTGCAAAACCGCAAATGAACAAGATAGGAAATTCCTATCTTGAATCATTTCCTATCTTGTTCATTTGCGGTTTTGCAGCTGAAGATGATGGTTCGGTAAAACCATCGAAACTAGTCCTGTGAAAATTTTGTGAATTAACGCTGATTTTTGTTGTTTGACTTCTGAATCAGTATTACTAAGGTTATTTTAAGTAGAAAAAATACAAACATTTTCGTTTAACTTCTCTAGATTATTTGTATGCAACAAAGCGTTAACATGCGGTGGTACATGTTAACGCTTTGTTGCTACAGTCACTAAATTTTGAACACAAGCAGTCCTATTTCCCCAACACGTGCACCTCGAAACCCGAATTTTAAATTTCGAATTTGTGTTTTTAAGTGGACTTTGTACCTTTCGAACGATTATTTTAATTTAAGAACTTTAATCTATTTTTTATGAATATTATTGAAAGATTTTGGGAGATAAAATGATTTTAAGCTGAAAAAAGTTTTTAGCCGGTAACTTTTTTTAAAATTCAAATTTTTGAAGGAAAGGTTAATAGTTAAATACAATTCTTCTACAGTTTTCAATATATTTACCACGATTTATTTATTTTATTTATTAAAATGTTTTAAACAAATTTAATAAAAAGCATATTAATATGTAACCACTTTGATAAAATATGACCTAATTACATTTCTACTTCGAATAAAATTTCTTTTCAGTATTTTACAAAATCCATCCTTGCTTCTATTAAATATACAATAATAAGCAAACAGTAAAAGTATTAAATACTTTAATTCATATTTGTGTAAATTTTAGTAATTTAAGTGAAAGGATCTATCGAAAAAATGCAAAATGAGAAAACGCAGTTTAAAGAACGTAAACTCTGTAAATGATGTTTCATTCATTTCGAATTTCTTAATTATTTTTTAACCGAATTTTAATATATATTTATCTAAAATAAAACCTATAGCTATTCAATTGGTGAATATAAACATAAATTAAAAATTTTTATTTGAAACCTTAACTGATTGGAAATATTGCAAGAAAAATAAGAAAAACCAAGTAGAGTTTTTATTTACCTGTTTTTGTTTTGTGAAACAATTAAAAACAATTTTAATATTTTAATTAATTGTAATAAATTTTCTAAAACATTTATAATTAATATTAATAATACTAATTTGTGGAATTATTCATTTTTTCAAAAAGAAAAAGGTCGAAATTTGAATAGACATAAAGTTTTTCCTTTAAGGCTTATTAAAACAACAACATTATTATTTACTCGTAAATAATAATGTTATTATAATAACATTATTATTTACGACTGGAAGCTTTTGTTGTTGAGAATATGGCAACATTATGATCTGTTTCCATAAGGATTTGCGTGCTTAACTTTCTGCTGTATTCTGCGTTTTCTCATATTTTTCTGGATATACGTATTTATTAACTATTTAATTATTTTTCAGCAACAAAATAATTTGTTTGTCTTATTTTCTGGTTTAGATATCTTCTTAATGATAATCTCAAAGCATTATATAGTCAGGAGTTTGAACACTTTTCATTATGACATCTGTTTTTTTGTTCATGTCCATTACGAATAATTTCCATTTCTAAAGAAGCGTAACAAAATTGACTGATAATATGATAATTCACACAGATACATTTGCTGAACTCAGTAAAAATAGAAAGAAAAAAAAAGTGCTAGCTCAAAAATGAAAAAAAAATTTTTTTTTTTTGAATTTCACTTATTATTTAAAATCACTCAATTTTTTACGTATTATAAACAGAATTTGCTGATAGTTGCAATCACATCTGATTACATTCCTTTACTTTTATACTGAGTTTTAATAAATAACTGAGGCAATTAAGATGTAAAAGAAAATAAACACTGTGGTGGGTGTGGGATTTAATGGACTGTCAAAAACTTTCAGTAAATGCAAACTGTCTTTTTATACACCATTTATTATTGTCAGATGTTTCCAAATTTTCTTTTACATCAGATCTTTACAAAATTTCAAATATATTAGTGTACTAAGGGCATCAAGGTATATTTTTAGCCAAAAATTGCCAAATCGATAATTTTATCCATTTTGGAGTACTAAGTTCCTTTAATTTATTTTATGTTTTCTGCGAATTTAACGACCTTTTGACATTTTTCCATTTCTAAAGATGATATTTTATTACCTCAAACTTTCAAATTTTATATCATCGTAAACAACAGGCATTTCTGTCTTAAATTTCTTCCAATTCTGTATTTCAAAATTCACGTTTTTCATGATTTTTAGGAAAAAAAATCACAAAATATGAAAGCAAAATTGAAAAAATAATTTTCAAATTGTCCATTATAAAAAATATTAATCGCAGAAATAACATACATATATATAAACAGCCTTACTTGTCCATCTTCTGATATGTTTCACTTTTGTATTTTAAAAAATTGACTTTTTCATTATTATTTAAATAAAGTCACTTAAGATCGCTGTTAATAAATTCTTGACTTTGATAGTATATTAGTCTTGCCTGCTTGACCTTTGCGAGTCGCATCTGTGATGTTCTTCGAAATGACAGATTCAAATATTCGAAACATTATTATTTACGATTGGAAGCTTTTGTTGTTTAGAATATGGCAACATTATGATCTGTTTCCATAATAACTTCCATAATTTCCATAATATGTGCTTAACTTTCAGCTGTATTTTGCGTTTTTTCATATTTTTCTGGATATACGTATTTATTAACTATTTAATTATTTTTCAGCAACAAAATAAATTTTTGTCTTATTTTTCCGTTTAGATATCTGCTTAATGATAATTTCAAAGCATTATATTTAGCTAAGGTGTTTTATTTTCGATTTAGTTGATTTTTTTAACTTCTTGTGAAGGTATTCATAAAATTTTATTTTATTAGCGACACTATTAATATTTTGATTTCAATTTTTTTATGCAAGACCGAAGTCTGACGGCGTGAGCTATCTAAAACGAAAAGTAAGTTAAGGATCTTATATAGCATAAATTGGAAAAACCTTCACTAAGTTTTTCGACGCTCTAACTTGTAGCATAGCTTACGCGTCGAAAAAGCCGGCATTGCTTTAACCCTTTGCGGCACAGTGCGTCCGGTCTGGACACACCTAAAATTTTCCTTCTGTACGCACAGAAAAATTGAATGAAAAAGGATTTATAGGTTACTCTGAATCTTCTTTATTTATAGTAGATGGCAGATCGACACAAAACAGTCCATATATTTTAGCCATGTTTAGTTTTTTAAGACTCATTTTTCAAAGAAATCTTCCAGATTTTCTTTTAGGGTATAAAAGGAATTGTTTGAAAAGAAATTTCTATGTTATTTTTTTGGCTGTATGCTAATCTCCTTATTCTATATTAGTTTAAAATTTTTACATTGAAATCTTGCCTAAAATCAAACGGCGAACGGTGTGGCCAAACAGGGCTCACCGATAATCTAGGACAACTGAGAGTCTGTATTCTTTGTTTCTCCGCATCTCATCGGTCAGTTCATTGACAACAATGTTCGTTTCAGAACTCTTTTCGAAGCTCTATTCAATCAGTGTGCCACTTTGGGAACACCCACAGAATTAAAACGATAAGTGCTATCTTCACAAAATTTTACTTGTGTACTCCTCTAAGCCTAATTAGACTGCCTACATTTTTTTTTTTTTTCATAAAAACCACGACTTTAAAAGGTAGCGTGCCGGAAAGGGTTAACGTTCAAAAAGCAATTCAAAAACTCAGAATAAAGTGAATTTGAGAAGTTACTCTCTTCCTTT